GCTTTATATGGGTTAAAACAAGCTCCTAGAGCTTGATGGTTTTTCAAAAGGAACAATTGATAACACACTTTTTGTGAGAAAAAGGAAAAATGATTTCATTTTAGTTCAAATATATGTGGATGACATTATTTTTGGTGCTACTAATGAATCTTTGTGCAAGGAATTTTCTAAAGTAATGCAGGATCACTTTGAGATGAGTATGATGGGAGAGCTTACATTCTTTCTCGGGCTCCAAGTCAAGCAAACTAATGATGGAATCTTCATTTCACAAAGCAAGTATGCGAAGGAATTTGTAAAGAAATTCAATTTGGAGAAATCTAAGCATGCGCCTACTCCCATGAGTACTAGTGTGAAGCTTGATGCGGATGAGAGTGGTGAAGATGTGGACCAAAAACTATACCGAGGTATGATAGGTAGTCTTCTTTATCTCACCGCTAGTAGACCCGATATCATGTTTAGTGTGTGTGCATGTGCACGTTTTCAAGCATCTCCAAAAGCATCTCATTTAATTGCGGTTAAAAGGATCATTAAGTATGTTAATGGAACTTTTAACCTTGGTTTATTTTATCCAAGAAGCACCTCTTTTGATTTATATGGTTTTTGTGATGCCGACTTTGCCGGATGTAAGGTAGATCGCAAGAGTACTAGTGGAACATGCCAATTCTTAGGAAATTCCCTTGTTTCTTGGGCTTCCAAGAAACAAAATTGTGTTGCATTGTCCACTACGGAAGCGGAATACATTGCCGTCGGCTTATGTTGTGCTCAAGTTTTATGGATGAAACAAAGTTTAGTTGACTATGATTTGAATTTTCAAAATATTAAAATCTTTTGTGATAACACAAGTGCTATAAATATTTCCAAAAAGTCGGTTTTGCATTCTAAAACTAAGCATATTGATGTGCGCCATCATTTCTTACGCGATCATGTAGAGAGACAAGATGTATCCCTAGTATTTGTTGACACAAAATCTCAACTAGCGGATATATTTACTAAGCCTCTTGGAGAGGATGATTTTTATCGTATAAGAAATGGTTTGGGCTTATTAGCGGATATATTTACTAAGCCTCTTGGAGAGGATGATTTTTATCGTATAAGAAATGGTTTGGGCTTATGAACTATGTGAAAGTTCTACATTGTGTGCTTGTTTAGTTGTATTTTATTTTCTCTTTACCCCATTTTTGATTGTGACAAAGGGGGAGAGAAATCTCCTCATTTGTTGCATATATTGCATATACTAAGGGGGAGCTCATAGATAGGGGGAGCACCTATCTATAAGCTATTTTATTTTTGCTCTTATATAATGGTTGGTTGTCATCATCAAAAAGGGGGAGATTGTTAGCCCTTATGTTTTGATGATGTTTTACAACCACCATTATCGGTACTAATGGCTTATTGAGTGCAAATGTAGTAAATTCATTTATCAAGCTCGTTAGTGCCATTAATGGAGGATGGATGGAATATAAGCTACAACGATGATATCCAAAGGAGGAGGATGCATAATGATGAAGCAATGTTAATTCAAGAACAACAAATCCATAAAGAAGCTTCATCAAACTTAAAGCTATCAAGACTCAAGAACTATACTCTATGTGAGGATATTAGCTTGTTTTCTATTTTCTCTCTAGTGCTAGAATGTAGGCAAAGAGTTACTGATTTCACTTGAAGCTATTGGGAATCACACACACGTTTTCATACTTATGTTTTTTAAGCGTTTTTCATAAAATACTATTTTTCATAAGTATGAGGACCTATCTGCAAAATTCTTTCTCCAAACAGTTTGTTTTCAGTATTAAAAACATTTTATAAAGTTTCATAATTTTCAGAGGTCAAATAAATATTTTACAAATATTTTAGTTTGAGTCAAAAAATCAGTCTGTGCAAATGTATCAGAATGCGGTCGACCGGACCGGTCGACCGCACCTATGAGCATTCGTCACTGGACTCCAGAGAGTTTGTCGGTCGACCGGCGCGGTCGACCGAAAGCTCAAATTTTTGGTCGGTCGACCGCGCCGGTCGACCGATGAAGTCTCTGTTTGTTTTTACTTGTTTTCAAACCTGCCTCCGGTCGACCGAATTTTCGGTCGGTCGACCGAACTAGTTTTTCGGTCGACCAAAAATCCCTTCGGTCAACCGAAAGTTGTCTTCGGTCAGCCGTGACTTTTTTCAAACGGTCATTTGCCTAGAACACTGTGCTTTCACTTATTAGTGTTTGGCACAGTCTGAGATAAGGGTCTGAAAAAGAGATTACTTACTTAACTGGGAAGATTGGGTTTAGTTTTTAAATTGATTAATCTCTTCTATTTAAACCCCAGACTTCTTCTTCTTCCTTGCCCTAACGTTTTGCAAAAACCAAAGAGACTGCTGTCTTCCTGAGAGAATTTTCAAATCTGTTTTCTCTGTGGTTTTTGTGTGTGTTCACTTCCCAGCTTCAGTAATCCTTCTCTTTGCCATAAGGGCTGTGTAAAGAGAGAGTCTTGCATCTTTTGCTTCTGCTGTGTGAGTGAGATCTTGTGTAGATCAACTGTGAGGGAGTGATCTGTTGAGATCAAACTGTGTAGTGAGAGATGGTGTGGGATCGCTGTGTAGACGAAGTTCCAACTTCCAAACCGGGTGTGTAGTGGATTTCTCCTCGAGAGTGGGGAGTGGGGACGTAGGTCAGCGGGCCGAACCTCGTTAACACATCGCGCGTCAAGGATAACGATTCCTAACTCTATCTCTCTTACTTTGATTGCATTTCTGTTTTGTGGATTGCTTGTGTTTATTTTTATTGCGTATTAGAGCCTCTTGACCCTAATCACCCCCCCCCCCCCTTCCAACAATTGGTATCAGACACTAACGTCTTCAACTAGCAGATAAAAAATTTTAGTATTGTTTGAATATAACCAAACCTCAAACACAATCAAGTATCACAAAGTTTTAAAAGATTATACATTTGTTATGTTTTCGAGCAGATCCGAAGGGCCTTTAGGTGATTACTTAAAGTAGGAAAACTTATACCAGAAATCAAGACGTCAGATCTACAAAATAGGGTGAGGAGGTGAACCGAGGTCACTGATCTAAGAGCAAACCGCATCGCAAGAACTACGCTGGCAAGCTACCTGAAAACCCCCCAAAATCACACTACAGAAGCCTTTGTAAACCTCCAAACAATAAGAAATTTCATCTTGAACTCAATAGCTAGGGTTCAACAAGGAGGAAATCAACAGGGGGATCAACATTACACAAAAATATGCCCGCGTTTGAGCAAACATTGGTTGATTTTTTTTATGAAACGGCGGGAAGCGGAAGAGGGAAATGGAGAGGCGGGGATAACGAGAAGTGGTGAGCCCAAAGGACGGCTTCACGTGACGAGAAAAACGGAGAGGCTGAAGAGCTGAGCTGGCCCTTTCATTTCCAAAAAATACCCATTTCCGAGCTTTTAGTCAGGATTTCGCCGTTCCAAAAAAAACATTATTTGACAAGGTTTTAGGAAACCATTTCTTAAAAAAAATGAAACAAATACAGTTTTTGGATTTCTAAAACCTCCCAAATGTTACTTTTTGTTCCAAAAACCGGGTTTTCCTAAAAAACACCCTCAAACAAACAACCCCAAAGTGGAATGCTTTTTCTACTAATGGCATGTTATTAAGTGAGAAGAGAACCAGCTTGAGCAATGAGAGATTGAATAGGGTGTTGCTATTAGGAGGCTAGTGGATCAACGACTTCAAGGTATACAAAAAATTGCATACGGCGACATATTTGATGAAGAATCTCAACCAAAAGCGAAGCAGGTCCACCTAAACATCTTAAAAATTTTATTTGTAATTTTCAAAGTCTTATCAAACTAGTTACTTGTGTTGTCATTTTTTATTTTCAATACAAAAACTTCACTTTAGTCAATGTAAGTTGTAAGTCTTCAATTTCTACATGTAACTCTTAAGTTTCAAGTTTCTACAATTATGTAAAATTTTCATCAATTTATTACTAAAGTTATTATTCTTCTATAAATTGTTGTCTTTACTTTTTGCATTTAAATTTGACCAATCCTTTAACTTGAAACTAAGCCTAAACTTAGAAATATGTGTTTATAAAAAGTTAAAAATATATAGTTAAAAATTGTTAGCCTAACCTTTCAGCTATCTAAGGCCCAACCCAAAAATAATAATAATAAAGAAAGAAAATAAAATTCAGCCCAATTAAATGATTTTTTTGGGGGGTGGGGAGGGGGGTGGGGGGGTGTTTGGCAAAGTTCAAGGCCAATATTTTTTTCAAATGCCCAAGAAGGCCTAACCCAAAAAAAAGAAAAAACCAATAAAATTCGGCCAATTCCTAGATGGGTTTGGGCAGCGCCCAAACTTAAACAGTCGGGCTCGGACCTACCCAATTAAATCCAGTCCCAACAAGGTCTAGTCCGAACAAGTCCGGTCCGAACAAGTCCGGGCCCGGCAGCGGAGCCTACTCCAACAGGCTACTCTAGAATAGACATGACGCCGGGTGAACGATTAGAGAAACAAAGTTGGAGAAATTCCTCTTGATTTGTAGTATAAACATGAATCCATTGATCATTAACCAACACTCTTATCTAATTTGCTCTTTATTTTGTTAGCCTTCTTGTTTATTTGATCAGGAATAGAAGCATCCAATAGTTTTCAATTGAGAGAGGCAGTAGGTGTAGGGTTGTCAAATGAGTGGTTTTGGTTGGGTTTTGGTTGGGTTATAAACGGGTGGACACATTTATAACCATTTGACCATTTATAACCCATTTAGCATTTGCTAAATAGGTCACTTCTCATCCACCCATTTACTAAATGGGTGGTTCATAGGTGACCAATAACACATTTGGTTATGATATTTTTATATATATGTAAGTTTCAGGGATCTACATGCAAACTTTCAGGAGGTTTTCTACAAACTTTAGGGGGTTTTCTACAAACTTACAAGGGGGTTTTTTGTAAACTTTCAGGGGGTTTTCTGTAAACTTTTAGGGGATTTTCTGTAAACTTACAGGGGTTTTTGGTAAACTTCTCACTGCAAAAACCCTCAATTACCAATTTATACAACAAAAAACTGGGGCAAAAGCCTTCAGAGACCATCATAAACATGAAATCTTTAGCCTCTACAAACATTTTCGATTCAACCAAACCATAAACAAGCGCTTGATAACTTCCAGAGTTCGGATAACATCCTTTAAGCTTCATTACTTTTAAGAGCTCGATCCCCCTCTCTAACTCTCCTTTGCTTGCAAAGACCCGAAATCAAAACATTAAACATTACAGTAACAGGATAACATTTCTCTCTTTCCATTCTGTCGCATAACTCTAAATAAAACTACTGTGTGAACTCATAATGAATGTTTAGCAATGATCACTTAAAAATAACGATGAGAATAATGTACATCTGATCATTATAACATGCTCAAGGATCTCAGCTTCAAGACAGCAAATTGATTACATGAAGGCTATAATCCATGGGTTTATGAAGTCTTTGATGTTGCTAATGATACCCTTATCATATGGATTTGGAAACCTTATTTCTGAAGAGTTCCCTGAGGAAAAACATACATAAAGGACCACCAATTAGTAACCAATTAAATTCAAACAGAATCTTGTGTAGTTTTAATTTGATTTCAATATATTTACCTAGCTGAGACTGGACGACTAGTTGAAACTCAGGATATTTCTTCCAGTTAATCTGATTATTGGCAAGTATTAATACACAGAAGCAAGATATACAGAAGCAAAAATCATAAAAGGAACTAGAGAACTTATTCATCAGTTTAGATATTGGCACAGATGCAATATATAAAGTAAAGCACTCACAAGCTCAATGGTACGTAACGTAATATCAGTTAATTTCATCACCTATCTTTAAATATTGATGTCACATAAAGTAAAGCATAGTATTTAAAGAAAACTTAACCGATAACAATTGCTGAAAGTTCCCCAAAAGAGAATTATAAAACCAAAACAGACTAATCCCCCCAAAAATACTAACATATTCCAATTCAAACAAATTCAAGAATGTATTCGAAGTTGATTAAAAAAGTACCCTTCGGTAATAAAATTATGATACCCCCACAAACAGTTCACTTTCTTGGGCTATGAAAGTGATCAAACACAGTAAAACTCTATTCAATTGCAAAATTCAAAACATAAACAATTAACGTTAGCACTCTCAGAACAAGGTAGCATCTTGATCCTTTCCTTACATTTGTAGGCTTGAAATTATTGGTGTCAGATAAAGTGAACTGCCTGCAACTGTCCTGTAGTCCTGTTTGTTTTTAAGGGTTTTACGCGAATAATTGAAGATGGTTGAAACTGCATAAGTGAAAATAGAGATGGATTTGTTTATCCTAGTATCAAGAGCATTTATGCAAATCTTGATGTTTACAATGTATGAAGCATTACATGTCAATACAAGAATGCCGGCACAATGCACACAACAAATGATGGTGCTACTAATCTGCCATTTTTTTTCGTTGACAAAATAAGGTAAGCAGGTATATCCAAAAGTAAGGAAAAGAAAAACACTAGTCATCCCAGGGTTCCAAACATCCAAAGATGCCTTATTATAAAAGCTCCTTTGAGCCTACTAGCTAGTCATACATAGCCTTCAAAGTTTTAAAGATAACAACACACAAAATAAATACAACAATGCGAATTTGATCATACCTTTAGCCAATACTCTAGCAATCAAATCTACTCCCATTCTTTCTAATCCATGGCTCGAAAAAACTACCCTTGCATTAAACGTTGAACAACGGTTATGTATATCACCAACATATTAGTTTCACTTCGCTTTGTTTTACTTTAAAAGCATAATCCAAATAGTGCATGTTCAAACTTCATTAAAAAAAAATTCATTCGATCTCCTCTTCCACCAAACTACTGTTCGCTCTTTCCATTTGAAAACCCTTACTCACTTCAGGTTAGTAAAATCACACTCTAAAGTTTATAATCTCCCCATTAATCCAACATTAAGCTTGTAAGTTTTCCCAACCTGAAACAAATATAGTTTCATTATCAGCTTCACTACCATCATCGCATGCAGTAAATTCATTCAAAGACATGGTAACTGAAACAAGAAAAATAACTTTTCATTATCAAATCATATGTCAAAAGTTAATAAAATAGCTTCGTATATAACAAATAACTACAATAAGAAAAAGAACACTACCCAACAAATTCCAACACAAGATCCATGTCAATATCAATTTTCTGTTGAACACAGGGGCCACACATCATACACATGGTAAGGAGAAAATGACATAACAATATTGCTCAATAATCAACAGAATAAAGTTCAAATCTTATAGCAGAAAATGACTAGATTGTTGTATGGGTGGTAATATTCCCCAAACTTACAGAGTAATCTAATTAAAATATTTACAGTTTAATCAATTTCCCAAACACTTATTCAAACAATTATATAGACCTATTAAGTAGACAACATATCGCAATAATCAACTAAACCAACGAAGTTAACTAAATTGACGAAACATGTGACTTCAATAGAGCTATATATCGTCACCTCCAAATTTTAGAAACTACAGTACATGAATCGTAAACAAAATTACAGCAGAAATAAGTAACTGAATGCTATTTTTGCAAAATAACTAATGCAGATGTACTGTTTGACAAATTGCCACAGAGAGGAAATGCGAAAATAAAACCTAAGGACATCTCTTCAGCGAGCTTAGCGGATTAAAACTTCAGAGCTCGATCAAAGGCCTGATCAAGAAACCCTAAAATTGAAAGGAGATAGGATTAAAAAAAACCCAAAATTGAAAGAAGGATGGATCAAGAAACCCTACTAAGAATGTACCTCAAAATTCAGTGATTAGTTCGATTGAAAACCTGAATGTTGTAATAGCTCGATCAAAGGCCTGAATTTGAACAGGAGAGAGATGAGGAAGCTCGATGGGGAACTATGGCTCGATCGAGAGGAACTATGGCTCGATCGGAGAGGAACTATGGCTCGATTCTCCTGTTGAAGATTCGATTCTCCTGTTAATCGAGAGGAACTATGGCTCGATCGGAGAGAGATGAGGAACCTCGATGGGGAGAGGTGAAATCGAGCGCTTGAGAGGAGAGAGAGGAACTAGAGCTCGAGCGTTTGAGAAAGAGGGGAGAAAGGAGAACGCAGAACGCGTGGGTGTGGATCAGATTGGGTTGGTTATGGGCGGGTCTAGTTATGAACCATTTAGGCTGTATGGAAGCAATACCCACCCATTTAGGATCCGCTTCGTTAAGTGGGTGGGTATAGTTGGACTATTTTGTGAGTGGGTATGGGTAGATTATTAGGTTTGGGTCTAGATTGCCACCCCTAAGTGGCACTAAATTCTTTTGGGGCCTGTCACTTCACTTTCAATGACCGGGGGGAACCACCCAATTTATTTTAAGGTCAGAGAACATTATTTGAATCTCCTCAATAAGCCAAGGCATATTATGATGAGAGCCAACAGAATGAAGTTCCCTCCAAAGAATTGAGTCTATCCTCGAGGGATTAGAAGCATAAATGAAGGAAGCCAATCAATAAACCTTATCATCCCTGTGTAATGCATTGAGAAGAGATATTAACGATGGAAATATAAAAAAAGAAGAATCCCAAAGTAGCCAAATACGACCATTAGGACTAACAGAATAGTTATAGCCCACAATCTTTAGCTATTCTCTTAACAGTTGAGTAGGCCTTATCAGACTTAACCATAAGTTTCAAGAAGAGCAAGACAAGAGATTTGATATGGGGCGACGAACTCTCCTATTAATCCATGTTTATGAGGCCTATTAAACCTGTAACATTCTGCATTAAAATATAGAGGTGCCCTCTTTGGCCTATAAAAAATGCAAGATATCACCTGAGTTGCCTTGAGAGCTAGTAGCAGGAACTTCTCCCTTTGTATAGTCATCCATTCAGAATCCGCGTTAGAGACAGAACTCTCTCCTGGCGCCTGAGATGATCTGGAATGAGAAGAATTTAGCACAGAAGCAATGTCCTAATCCACTTGATTTACAGGTAGCAGTATTTGGCTGCACTTCATTTCTCTCAACCACCTTAGCGGGATCAGTCCCCACGTCGGTCGATCGCTGGAGCAACACCAGAACAACTCAACTCAGTTGCAAGACCCAACTTAAATAGATTTTCTCTTCGCATGCAACAATTACTTACAAGCCCTCCAGTTGCATCAAAACAAACACCAGCTAAGTCTATCCAATTCAACCGGCTGAAAAGGAAAATTCTCAAACCAAGTTTGTGGTTTCTCTTTCTTCTTTAGAGCACTCACCTACATAGCACCAGCCAAGTCTATCCAATTCAACCCAGCTGAACAGGAAATTTTCAAAGAAAAGTTGTGGTCTCTCCCACGTCTTTTGTAGGGTATCCATGTAAAAAATATGTGCTGATGCTCTTAGTCTCAACTGCAGCTAACATGTGGTTGTAATCTTGAAGTATAGAACGTGGTGGAGGATAAGAGGTTGTTGATGACTTTTTGATAATCCCCTTGAATAAAGAAATGCTTATTTGGCCACTTGCTGCAAGCACAGCTAATAACTTCACAGTAAGCTCTGGGTTAGTATCTTCTGGCCTTAAGGGGAATAGATTCAGCATCGAATAGTACCAGTCATCTAAATTGGTGAGCCCAGTCCTTGAAAATGTGGTTCCATCCAGTAGCTGATGCCTGAAATTGATCAATGGTTCAGATTGAGATTCTGGTTTAATGCCCTGCCAACCATCCGGGAATTTCTCAGCTGCCTAGGCGTTAATTGAGTAACGTAGACCCACAGGCCCTTGCCACTCCCCCGAAATCTTTGGTGTTCTGATCTTTCCGAATAATTCACACGGCATAAACCATCCAACGTTATCTTTAGGCTTAAGAAAGATCATGCTGTAAGCTGGAACTTTTGAAAGCAGATCACAGCTCAATTGTAGTCCCCAAATTAACCATGTCAAAGCTTTTACCAATTCAAATCCAATAGGACTTTAGAAGATTGAGAGTGGAGCAATCTCCTCAGGAAGCATGACGTCTCAGGCACAAGGTATCGTTACGAAGCTTCCTGGCCTGCTAGCCAAGAATAATGTATATTGAATGGCATCATATTCTACTTTCCAGATTAATAGAGCAATTTGAGAGGGCATCTTAAGTTCCAAATCAAACTTTATGTAAGATGTTTACTTCGCAATTATTTATTGTGTAGTCGAGTGCTTACTTACTTTTTGTTGCTTAAGCTTAAACTAGAACAAATAAAAGCAGATTTTAAGCTTATATATTCTTAACAGTGCATCCTGTGGCAAGACCTAAGGTTGATTTTAGAATAAGCATGAAACCAACCCTATTCTAATGAAAAGCTTGAACAATGAAAGTAAATTGCGAATGACCAAGTCCTCTACTTAAATCAGTGTTCTGGTTTTGGAAATTGATCAAAGTATTCCATCAAAAACACAAAATAGAAGGGTATCACACCAGTAAATAAAAATAAAAAAAGGTAATCAGAATGTGATGTATATCTTATATGCCATCAAAGACAGAAACATAAGCATACAATATCAGCAAAAAAATTATTTGAAGGGTGGTAGCATAACTTTACTTTTTTCTGTATGGTAGCATTTCTAACCATCACTGAATATTTATCTTCCTAAAAAATTTTCATAATAAAGTATGTCCAAAGCTATTTAAAGAATCCTCAAGTGTTACAGACAAGAATAACATTGAAACCTATCTAAAGTCAACCTCAGTGAACCAACTTCGTCCCGCATAACATCATAAAAATAGTTCATACGCCTCATGTAAGGAAATAAATTCTTGTGGTACAAGGAATGAGAGGCTAGTAGTGAATAAATACCGAAAGCTGTTAGATGACATCCTAAAATATTCCAGATTCTACTTCATGTACATCCATCAGTAAAATAACTGCAGACATCACGATCCTGCAAAAAGCGAGAATAAAAAGATGAGTACAGGGTGATCTATGGTTGTAAGAAATAACTAGATCAAAGTAAAAAAAAATATATGGCCTTTTCCTTACTTCTCAGTTGTACGCCCTCTTCCAGATATTTTAAAGATTTAGCTCACATTCAACAGATATAGAGTTACATTCTGCATCTTCTAGATAGACATTTTGAATATATGAATTCACTCCAATACACTGGAAAGCAGTGTAGCCATGTCCCAGCATTTCTAGGATTTTTCATATCAAAATATTTACCCTGGATTGTAGGTTCCTTGCTTTCTAGCTAATTAATTTGTGCTAATTAAAAGCATAACGAGCTGCTAAGGCCTGGCTCACTGGTAAAGGAAGGGGTTGGGTTGTGGGAGTCCCAAATTCAAAACCAAGTTGACAGCTTTTTTTTAAAATTGAAAAAGAAAACCAAAAATTCTCCTGGGGTTGGGTTGTGGGAGTCCCAAATTCAAAACCAAGTTGACAGCTTTTTTTTAAAATTGAAAAAGAAAACCAAAAATTCTCCTCTTAGTTTTTTTTCCTTTTTATTTTTTTTTCTCTTTTTTTCTTTTTCTATTTGTTTTTTCCTCTCTCTCTCTCTCTCTCTCTCTCTCTCCCTCCCTCCCTCCCTCCTCCCCCCCTCTCTCTCTCTCTCCTTATAAATTCCCTTTACAAAGAGCAAGACATTCATGAGCTCTCTCATATGAACTCTTCAAGCATGCTCTTTGCCATACAAAAAAAAAGATTTATACCTATCTAAATCAGCTAATAAGATATTTTATTCATTAAGAATTGAAGATGCCACAGGTTTTCAAGGATTACAAAGTAAACAGAAGTGTTCTAAGGTATTCCACACTACCTCGCTATCTTTCTTTACAAAAGAGTTCTTAATATTGGTAACCTAAATAAATTTCAAGGCCCTTGCCATCTAGGGATAGTGTCCTGTTTCAAATAAACTTCACCTCAAAAGACTAATCTGGCACTAAATTGTTTCTAGGGTTAATTGTGAATAGACCCCCCTGTAGTATCACCTAGTTGCGAATAGACCCCCTCTAAGTTTATTTGTGAAAATCGACGCCTTGAATAAATTATTTTTTACTCCTAAAATCATTAAAAATGTTTTGAGGAGGCGGATAGACCCCTTACAGTTCTATTGGTGAGGATAGACCCCCAATTGCTAATCTTTTTTTTTTACTTTCAAAAGAAACAAAAAGTTCGCCAAGAGGGGTGTATTAGCTTGGGCCAATACTATAAGGGGTCTCTTTGCAATTGGCTGATACAACAGGGGTCTATTCACAAATTAACCCTTGTTTCTAACAAAAGAACTAAAATTTCGAATTACTAAAAGCGAACTCTTACAAGAAATAAGACTAATTTATATAAACTTCTGAGGCTGGTCATCATAAACAGCAGAAAAGCAGAAAAGAATCAACTTCCTTAATTAAAAAATAATAAAACAAACATAAGGTAATTTGGGAGGCAAAATAAAGCTGCAGCCTATAAAAATTTGAAGCAAGAACAACACCTCATCTATTTTCTCACATGAAATAAGGCTACTGTCTTTTGCTTCAAAAGGATTACATTTTGCATACATGATGAAAGAAAGGGTAAAAATCGCAATTCAATCATCCCAAAAAATAAGTTAACTGACAACAGGATAATTATGTTCGCAATTCAACTAACTTCTTTAACAAACGCTGCCAAGAAGGAGAAAGAAAAGTGCTGACCAAATAGTTACACAGTTCAATATTGCAGCAGATGAAAGTAACAGCAGGGTACTTCAGCAAGGTATTCATCAAATTGTCACCATAATTTACTGGACCTAAGATAAGAAGTGTCTTTTGGTAGGTTCAAAACTTGCAGAAGGTCCTTCTTTTCAAGCTCTCTTGAGCATAAACAATCCAAACTAAATAGTCAACCTTAATATCACTGTTTATTTGCAATAACCCAAGAAAACCCCGACCCGTGTACATATAGAGAATCCAAATATTGCCAAAATCAGCATGTGAAGTCCTTAAAGTGAGGGATAAAGCTATTCTCAAATGGGGATCTGTTGAGGATGTTATTGCAAAGTTTAATTCTTGGGCTCGCAATGATAAATTCATTTTATCTAGAGCTTATAGTGAGACTATGGGTTCTTCAAGTGAGGGGTGTTGGTCTCATCTTGTTAGGAGGAGTAACACTGCTCCTAAGCATTCATTTATCTTGTGGTTGGCTAATTATAATAGATTACTCACCCAAGATAGATTATTGAGGAGAGGTATAATCACTATTAATTCCTGTGTTTTATTCTCTGCTGGTGCTGAGGATATTTCCCGTCCGTTTTTTAGTTATCCATATTCATCATTGGTGTGGTGATCTTGCAGCTGGTCTTTGGTGATTGATTCGTATTCTTTCCATTTGTGGGGAATTCTTTTGCTAAGAAGGCGAAGAAGATTGCTTTGGCTGCTACCATTTATTTTTTGTGGATGGAGACAAACTACAGGCTCTATGCTGGGAAGTGGAAACCTCCTGGATGTGTAATCAAAGGGATTATAACTCATGTACTTACTTTGTTATATCAGGTCTCTGTCTGCTCAGTTTCGATGCTGGGTAAATTCCTTGAGATAGGTTGAGTTTTGTTTGTGGTTGTAAGTGGTATATAGTATCAGCTTATCCAGTTTGATGTCAGTTTGGTAATCTCAGGTATGCTGAGTAGAAGTTTGTACATGCACTGTTTCATATGGTAATAAAAATCCATTTCATTGACCCAAAAAAAAGACAATAAAGCAGTGAGCTATGCATATTAGACATCAAGGATAGATACTGACTTGTAAATTATGATAACAAAAATGCTGAGGTATAGAGAAAGCTTGATCATCCTGTATTTCTTCTCCGCATTTAGCACCCTGAATATCTCAGTGACATTTATATGGTGCTTCCTCTCCATAAACCTGCAAAATATGACTTCTATATTTTAAAAAAAATGTTTCCAACTACACTAATTTATGGAAGGACAACATTTACTATGAGAAGATCATGATACTCCAATATGCAGAAAAGTAAGGTTCCCAAACTCTCAGAATTGTTTTTTTTTTTTAAATGAAGTTTCATCTCCATGAGTTCCACCACTAGAGGTGGAAAATCCTATAAGGCAGGTAGATCTTAAGAAAACTAGAAAAAATCATTTTTTCCACTTATTTATCTTTTTCCCCTCAAATACATGGACCAAAGAGAGCAAAAAAATTGAGCAAAAAGAATCCTTGACTTTTCACTTAGCTTCTTCCAAATTTCATGAGTCAATACTTCATTCATTTTGCTCTGCACCCAATTGATTTTGCTTGGCACCCACTAACCCACTAAGATGAAAAATTACTTCCAACTTCATATTTAACACTGTAAGTTTAATGAAATATAAAGAGACTAATTGATCTATATCCACGTTGCACCTTTTGAAATGATTCAAGAAATCATATTGCATAAACTATTATAAGAAGATGAAAATCTAAGACATCTTTTGTGCAAGTTAAGATGTGTCACAGTACTTCTTGTTTCCCGCACACGCGCACACACACACACATATAGCTTTCATTACAGCTTAAATTTTTTACATTCTTCACTTCCATAATATTCAGCAAAAAATAAAAATACATTGTTGGTGTTCGAGGTTTCTGATGTCATGTCTGAATTCTCTATGCTTTATCATGTCTGTGCTATGTTTATGAACATGCTTCTCATATTGAAAAAAACTGTGGCACTTTTTTTTTTGTATTAGGTGGCCTTTCATTTAAATTTTACGACTTCTGTGCTGTTACCAGTCCCTTAATATTTCTATTATCCAAGCCTCCATTTTCATTCATCAAGAACTAATTATAATTTGCATGTAAAAATGACATATGGAACACCAGAAGTGTCTTTATTACTTTCACCAGAAATATTCACCAATTCCAGTAAGATTAGGGAGCTGACATTCAGATCCAATTTAACTAAAAGTTTTGGCTTAGAATCTCTAAAATTGAAACTGAAAATGCGAGGCCAGATAAGATGTTAATTTACGTCCTCTAGTGGCGCCAGTGGACTTTGATAGCTCTAGAAATCAATTGGATCCTACAAATTTACAATGGAGTACCAAATTTTGACTCGTCACTGTGCTAAGTAAGAACCACGGTATCTCATATTATGTGAGAACTACCAATATCCTAAAGTGTGTTATGCGGAAATATGAAACCACAATTTCTTCAAAGTATTTTGCATTACCTTAACAATATCCAAACAAAGCCAGGACATTTCCAAAAATGTTGCAGGTGAAATACTATGTTTTTAATCGTAAAGGTCTATTGTATTTCAACCTTAAAGGTCAAACACTTAGTAGAGTTTAGACCGATGAAATTGTCAGGACATAGTACGTACAATATCTCTTCTTTGAGTAATAACAAACTTGAAACTAATATTGGTTTGAGATGATATAGTACATGTAAATACAAGTATAAGAAGTGTATGAGGCGAAACGATGCAAAAATTAGCTCAAAAACAAATTTCAACCTTTCTACCATCAATGGTAGTCATTGACCTTCGATGGTAAGAAGAGCTCATCAATAGTCAACATGTGTCATCAATGATTTTTACTCCCAAGACTTTTATATCATCGATGGGCTTCTCAACCATCAATGTGGCCTTGACACCATCAATGATCGAGAGCCACCATCGATGGTAAACACGCTAATTACAGATTTTTCTAATTTAATCATAGTCGTCCATTACTTATATATTCTCCAAATTCTACCATGTTTGGGATCTCTTTTCTAACCTATTGGGGAGTTCATACATTTAAAGAGAGAGAAAGAAGGAGAGTTCTAGGGTTTTGATTTGTGAGAGATCAAGTTGAAGATTTTGACCCCCGTAGCCTCGTTAAACTCTCACTTGTCGCGTACAACATCTTCGGATCATTTCATTGTGAGAATTGCCTTTGAATTGATTCCAAGATGCCGTCTCGTAAGCCTACTGAATCGGATTTGTAATTCAATTGAACTCTTTGCATTGTGAGGAAGTCCTTCCAAGAAAAGGAAGAATAGACATAGGATTATTATCCAAGCCACTCTAAAATCCAGGGCGCCACTCTAAAATCAAGTGCGTTTCTAGTTAATTGCTCTTGGTGTTTGATTATATTGCTTTATATTGTTGATCGCTTTTATTTTATATCTTCCGCTGCATATTCTGTGTTATTTTAGCAAAAAATAGTAGCAATCCTTTTCACTCTCCCTTTAGGCTTGCATCTAAAATCGAACAAGAGGTATTAGAACCTCGTTACCATCTATAGGATAGAGATGTCTAGTTTGACCGTCGCAACGGCTTTTTCCTGAGAGACATGCAGTTAACCAACCCCTACTTTTTGATGGGACAAATTACACCAATTAGAAAGTACACATGAAAGTGTTTTTGTTGTCCACTAATTTTGACACTTTGAGTATAACTGAGACTGGTTATAATGAACCTACAACCGTTGTAGCTGAGACCACCATTGTCACTTCTAGAGATAAGTGGTCTTCTAGTGACTAAAAAATGTTATTCTTTAAATACAAAAGCTATGAATGCTCTTTGTTGTTCTATAACTGTGAAGAGTTTAACCGTGTGTCAAATTGTACTACTGCGCAAGTAATTTGGAATACTTTGGAAGTTACACACGAATGAACTTCATAGGTGAAAAAGATGAAAGTTACAATATTGTAAGTATAAGAATTTCAAGATGAAGGCCTCAGAAAGTATTTAGGACATGTTCACCCGATTTATGAATATTATGAACAAATCAAAAACTTTGGAAAAAGAATATCATAATAAGGAGCTTATGAGAAAAATTCTTCGTTCTCTTTCCAGAGATTGAAATCCAAAAGTAACGGCCATCGAAGGATTGCAAAACTTTTCTAAACTAACTCTTGAGAATCTTATAGGGAATCTTCTTACATATGCAGTGCATCTGAAAGAAAGAGAAAACAATTCAAAAAATAACTACAAAAAGAAATCGTTAGCTTTGAAAGCGAACAGGGAAAAAATAAAGTCCAAGGCAAACAAGGGCTTGAGCTCGAGTTTTGAGAGTGAGAAAGCTAACAATGTACATCAAATTGTGGCTATGAATTCTTCCTTAAATCAAAATATGATCAAAAATTTCTGCAATAAAAACAGAAACACTACATAAACAAGGTAAATAAATATAATTCTAGTGATTCTGATACTAACCAACTTGTTTTCGATGCAGAAAACGCAAGGAAGAATTGTCCACTGAACAAAAAATACTATAAAGTAAAGGGCAAAAGCTCCATAGTGACTACCTATGAAGCACGGACACGCATAACATGAAGCCGTGTCGTGTCGTGTCCGTGTCGGACACACGTGTCAAACACACGTATCCTATGTATTTTTTAGGATTTGCCTCGTGTCGGCGTGTCGGATGGCCGTGTCGGATCCGTGTCCGTGCTACATAGGTGACTACATGTGACAAGTCAGAGAGTAGCCCAAGTGATGATGACAAAAGAGTACACTGTTGTCTCATGGCTAAAAATAGTAATTCAGATGAACTCGAACACCAGAGCTCCGATAGTGAGGTATACCCTGCATATGATGTTTTCTATTCTAAATAAAATGAGATGTTAGGTCAATATGAAGAACATGCTGAAAAATATAAAGTTGTTAAAAAGGTGAATTCAAGTTTAAAAAAGGATAATAAATTGTTTAGTGATAAATTAAAAAAAACTTTAGAATTGAATACATCTAACAATACAAGTGAAAATATTTCTTTTGAATGCACATAATGTTCCACGTATAGAGACATGAGTTAATCCAATCAAGTAATTGAAAAATCAAGTGAAAACGAATTATTAGTTGCTAGGGTAAATGAGCTTTTATGTGAGCTGTCTTCTGAACAAAGAACATTTGAAACTAAGTGCATTACTATAATTTCTGAAAATAAACTAAGCCTGAAAGTATTGATTTGGAAAAGGCCGTGAAAAAATTTTCGTTGGGCTCAAAAAGTTTAAACATAATCCTTCCCAATCAACGATCTGCAAAAGCTAAAACTGGACTTGACATATTCAGAAAAACATAAAAAGTTTCAACATTCTTTTATCAAAGGAAACAACTTAACTCTTTTTGCACCCATTTCTAATGCATCTTCTACTATTTGTACTTTATGAGGTAGAATGAGTCATATTTCAACGAATTATCATATATAATATAGAGTTAAAACAGTTTAAACGGATTTGGATACCTAAAAGCAAAAGTATCAACTAACATGGACCAATGGAGATACCTAGGTCACATATTTTTGCTTTTCTGTAGGTGTACAGGAAAGCTCACGAGTAAGGTAACATCTGTGTTGGTTCCTCAAGGCATATTCAGAAGACAAGAATTTGTTTCTTACCATAACTAAGAAGAAGGCGACGATGAGAAGTTACTGATACATGCAGAAAATACCTAATTATGCAAGTCAGGATTTATTGCAAAGGCGCAATTTACATAAACGGTTGTTTCAGCAAATCTTCTCAAAGCAGTGTGTAAAGATATATTATGTAACCTCTCCTGTTGTATGTACATATGTTTTGGATTTTTAATTTCTTTTTCTTTTTCTTTTTAGGTTTGTTTTTAGATTCTTTTCTTTTTTATCTTTTAATAAAATAAAATAAAAAATTTCTCTTTCTTTCTTTTTGTTTTTTTTTTATTTTAAAAAACTTATATGTCTATGTATGTGCTTTTACAGGTTTGATTCAGATGAGATTATTCTTTTTCTATATAGGTTTGATTATGTCACACGGGCTCACTCATGGCTTTTCAACGTATATGTATGTATTTTTGTACACAATGATCAAAAGATGATTACATGATGCGTTATTTACACGAGATATTTCATATAGTAATTTCACACACTTATTTCTATACTATCATGTTTTATGATGTGAAATAGTGG